TTCGTCAATAATGGTCTCCAGCTTAGCTAGAGTTTCTCCATCTTGTTCTCGTAATTTTCAAAAGGAATCTCCGGGTCAGTAACATTTTCCTCGTCTTGCCCCTGCAACTTTTGTCAGCTCAAAAAGTTAACGTTTGATGTGAATAATGTAAATCCCGGTCCATCCTAAGTCATAGCTGGACTTTTGAGCTTTCCATCTCTTTGTATTATAACCCCTTTATCCATTAATGAAAATTATTTATATTTAACGAACACGTTTTTTGTGGATCAACACCTCTTTTGAATGATGCAAATGATGAAAATAAAATAAAAAGGAACAAAAATGAAAAGAGTTAGTGAGGTAAAAATATTTAAATCATCCATGAAAATAAAAATCCTATCTTACATGATATCTACCACACATGCTTATTATTCCTATCCGGACATGATCTCTATCCCGCAAGTTGATTTTGAACCAGTCCTAATCGCATAAATTTCTAGTTCACATTCTTTGAACAGAAAATAAAGCAGGAATAAATAGCCTAGAGTTTGAAATGAGGCTTTGGGGTAAGCTCTAATTCCCTATAGTCTCCCGGTTTAGGTTATAAAAAAAGTACCAGAGTTCTCCTTGCTGGTGCCTCCTTAGGCTTGCTAGACCCTTAGTCCTAAGCCCATTACAAGCTTATGTGGACTAAGTTAAACTCGAGAGGATACATTCCCTTATGCCTATGCGGTGAATAAATTCACACAAAGACATAAGGTATATGAATCCCGAATGATACTTGCTAGGCCTGTGCGGAGAATAAACTCTCACGAAGGCGTCGCTTTCACTCCCACTTTAAAGGGTTCAGAGCTCGGGTATAGAGCTAGAGATAGAAACTTTTCAAAAATCTAAAATCATTGAAAAAATGTCAGTACAACTATTTATTTGAAAAGTAATCAAAGGTAAATAATTGGAATCGAATAAATAAATTAAAATTACAATTTACTATTTTCACATAAAAAGACAACCGAAAATTAATTATGATCTGTGTTTTACCAGAGATATGTCGGGCTCGGGAGTCGGTTACAGTCAAGGAAGAATTATCACCCTTGAACTGCCCTTTCGGTACCATTTAATTTATCGGCTGCCTTAATTGTGAAAATTAAAATTAAAATTTAAAAATTCGATCATAATTGTTTACCTTTCGATCAATTAAAATTATCTTAAAAAAGATCTTAAATAAAGTAAAAAAACAATCAAAGACAAAGAGTTAATATTAAAATAAATAAATAAAAAAAAGAATGAAAGAAAATTCAAATGCAAGAAAACATAAAATAATAGCTAAAAAATAAACAAAGATAAAAATGCAAAAAAAAAATCAATACCAGATCATATGACAGGAAATATTGATCTCTTGGAGGAATATAGTGAAAGCAGCTTACCAGTTTCTATCAAAATAGCAGATGGCTCTCTTACTACAGTCAAAGGGAGTGGTTCTGTTACATTAAACAAAAATCTACTACATAATGTCCTCTATGTTCCTAGACTTGCATGCAATTTGTTGTCAGTCAGCAAATTAATTAAAGATTTTGGTTGTAATGTTGTGTTTGGTATTGGTGGTTGCATTTTTCAGGCACAGGGCTCGAAGAGGGTGATTGGCAGTGCTAGGCTGGGCAAAGGATTATACACCCTTGGAGGTAAAGCATCTCATAATCATGCCTTATCCAGTGCTATTAGGAAACCAATTTTATCTTCTGATCTCAATACCAATAAAATTATGTTATGGCACTCTAGATTAGGTCATCATAATTTTTTCTATCTTTCCAAAATGTTACCGAACTTATTCATTAATAAATATCCATCTTTGTTTTCTTGTGAAATTTGTCAAATGGCTAAACACACCAGAAAACCATATATCCCAGCCAAATTTGAACCAACACCACCTTTTTCCATCATCCATAGTGACATTTGGGGCCCTTCTCCTGTCAAAAGTATTTTTGGGTATATGTGGTTTGTGTCTTTTATAGATGATTACTCTAGGACAACATGGGTTTTCTTAATGAGAGAAAAATCTGAGGTTTAGTTTCTCTTTAAAAGTTTTTATCAAAAAGTTGAAACCTAATTTGACACAAAAATCAAAATTCTAAGGAGTGACAATGGGAGTGAATATTTGAATAAAACTCTTGGGTATTTCTTTAAGGAAAAAGGCATTGTTCACCTTACTTCTTGTGTCAACACACCTCAACAAAACGGGGTAGCAGAAAGGAAAAATAGACATCTTCTAGAGGTTACTAGGTCTCTTATATTTGCTGCTAATGCTCCTAAGTATCTTTGGGGGAAGCTCTTCTTATAGCCACTTACCTCATCAATAGAATGCCAAGTAAGACCTTAGATTTCAAAATTCCTACTAAGGTTCTGTTTCAGCTGTATCCCCGTTTTAAACATTTAAACTCAAGTCTTTCTCCTCGGGTGTTTGGGTGTACAACCTTTGTTCATATCCACAACAGAGGGAAATTAGATCCTAGGTCCATAAAGTGTGTGTTCTTGGGCTATTCTTCGAGTCAGAAGGGTTACAAGTGTTACTCATCTTCCACAAAAAAGACCTATGTCTCCTTTGATGTTACAGTTTTTGAAAACCAACCTTATTTTTCAGGAACAGAAATTCAGGGGGAGAGTTACAAGGAATTTCAGCCTGTTCAAACCGATATTTCTTTACAGCCTATTAGTTACAAGGAATTTCAACCTATTCAAATCGATAGTTCTTTACAACCTATCCTTTCCTTACCTATTATTGTCTCTCCAAAGCCGGCTAGCACTATCCCAGTTCCTAGGGAGGGTGATGGGAATAACTTAAATAACTCTGATGAATTACCTTCCTCCTTATCTCAGCACTCTAGTCCGTGCAAAACACCTTCCACCACTACAAAAAATGCACCTAACAATGACCCTGAAACCATAACTCCCCAACCGAAACAACTCAGTGTTTACTCAAGAAGAAGGAAAGATGTTGCTGAAGAAATCAGTCAGCCTAGCATTTGCCAAGAACCAGATTCGGATCCTGTTGCAACTGAAACAGAAGGTAATGATGGTTACTAAGAGGCTACTACTGTTGATCTTGATGACTTTCCTATTGCTATTAGGAAGGGGGTAAGAAAATGCACTGCTCATCCCATAAATAAGTATGTTGCATATGGGAAATTACAGTCTAATTTCAAGGCCTTCACTGCCAGCATTAACACTGTGAAAATCCCAAGAAATGTGACAGAAGCATTTCAATCTCCTGAGTGGAAAAAGGTTGTGGAAGAAGAGATAAAAGCGTTGCAAAAGAATAAGACATAGAGTTTGACAGATTTGCCAAAAGGGAAAAGAGTTGTTGGATGCAGGTGGATATTCACAGTCAAATATCATTCGGATGGGAGTGTGGAAAGATACAAGGCAAGGCTGGTTGCTAAAGGTTTTTCTCTGTCCTATGGCATCGACTACCAGGAGACTTTTGCACCGGTTGCAAAATTGAATACCATCAGAATATTGTTATCAGTAGTTGTTAACATGGACTGGAAATTGCATCAGCTGGACATAAAGAATGTTTTTCTGAATGGGAACCTTGAAGAAGAGGTATACATGGAGGTCCCCCCCGGATTAGAAGGAAAGGTCACTAAGAAAACTGTGTGAAAGCTCAATAAATCCTTATATGGCTTAAAACAGTCAACTAGGGCTTGGTTTGATCGATTGCTAAGGCTATGACACAGAATGATTTCAAACAAAGCCAAGCGGATCACACATTATTTAGAAAAATTACAACGAGTGGTAAGATAACCCTCCTAATTGTCTATGTAGATGATATGATTATAACTGGCAGTGATATAGAAGAAATAGAAAAGCTAAAGATGAATCTTGCAAAGGAGTTTGAAAACAAGGATTTAGGGAGTATGAGGTATTTCCTGGGTATGGAAGTTGCAAGGTCCGAGGAAGGGATGGTCATAAACCAGCGTAAGTATGTTTTGGATCTTCTTGCAGAAACTGGGATGCTCGACTGCAAACCAGTTGAAACTCCAATGGAGCCAGGCTTGAAATTTTGCAAGGAAAGGACAGGAAATCCAGTAAACAAGGAAACCTACCAAAGGTTAGATGGGAACTTAATCTACCTTTCACTGACCAGGCCTAATATTGCATACTCAGTGAGCATTGTCAGCCAACATATGAGTGATCCTCGAGAAGAACATTTGGAAGCTGTTAACAAAATTTTAAGGTTCTTGAAATTTACCCCAGTAGCTGGACTTATATTTAGAAAAAATCAAGACAGGACAGTGAAGGTTTATACGAATGCAAGCTGGGGAGGTGAATTAACTGATAGAAGGTCAGTTAGTGGCTATTGTACCTACGTTTGGGGTAATTTAGTGACTTGGAGAAGTAAGAAACAAGTTGTTGTCTCTAGAAGTAGTGCTGAGTCAGAGTTTAGAGCAATGGCTCTCGGAATATGTGAAAGAATGTGGATTAAAAGACTGCTCACAGAACTAGACTTAGATGACAAGAAGAATTTTGAGATTTTTAGTGACAGTCAATCAACTATGAGTATAGCAAAAAACCCCGTGCATCATGATAGAACGAAACACATTGAGATAAACAAACATTTTATTTACGAGAAGGTCAACAATGGAGTTGCAAAACTACAGTACATTCCGACGAAGAAACAACTGGCAGATATCTTCACCAAAGCCCTTCCACGAGTGACTTTTGATGAGATGTCATTCAAACTGGGTATATACAACAGTTTGAGGGGGAGTGTAGGATTTATAGAAATGAGTTGTCAATCCCTTAAGTTAAGAGATTCTGTAATTATTTTCTGTTTTTCAATCCCTTATTTCAAGGGATTACATCTCCTAGTATTAGTTTCCTTTCTTAAAGTTTCCTAGTTTAGAGGCATAATTTGTATATAAATATGTAATATGTTCTACTGAATGTACACAAGAATAAAAATAACAGACTTGTCTGTTTTCTACAGTTTATTTTCTACACAGTCTGTTTTCTATACAATTAGTACTAAAGATACCGAATAAATGTGAATGAGCCTAACCTTCCAAGTTGATGAAATTACATTTTGTTCTTACCTGAACTGGGAGGTATAGCTTGAATTCTGGTGGTAGCTCCTCTTCTGAGTACAAGTGATCGGAGAAATATATCCTACGTAGTCGGCAATTTGCATGTACCTGAACACGCAGGGTCTCAATATAATTAGTTCCATAGGCCCTTCGTGTATAATCAGCCAGATTCAACTGAATTTGTTTCCACCCCTCTTCCAATCTCAGTGGCATGGTACATATACATGGCTTTACTCGAGTGACAGCCTAGAAATGCAAATAAAGTTGAAAGCACAGTTAATTAACAACAATAATATGAAATACATGCTTTTCAGAGCATATCCGTAGAAACTAAGTTACTCGGACTCAGGTGTGATGATTTTGGGTATATGTACAGCGTGTCTGTGTGTAAATATACGTACGCGTAGAGTATAACCTTACAAGTCTTAGAGACTTTGTAATTAATATTCTACTACTTATAAAACTTGTACTCTATGTCTTATCTAAGTAGAAGTTTAGATAGACTTCTATCTAGGTAGGTTAATACCTAATAGCACTCTAAGATTGTAGTTACAGTAGGACATCTCTACTGCTGTTGTAAACTGCCTATTTCAATAGGCCTAACCTTTGATATTCGACTAAGAGAAAATCAGAGAATAAAAATTCTACAGAAAAATTCTTTCGCCTTTTAGTTTAGTTATCTACAGAATGTATAATATAAGCTTAAAATATATAATTACAAAAATATACTAAAAAAGTAGTCCAGTTTATGTACAAACACATGCAATTTGTTTTGGTCAATATGCCTAATTTCCTTATGACCCCGTATCAATTGTTGAATACTATTACTCAATTATTAAGAAGAAGAGAGTTCAATACCATACACTTTCTACCTTTAAGTCACCTAGGTGCACCTGGCGTGTGCCTAATCAAATAAGCCTTAACCTTCACCTTTTCCCTTGCCTGAAAGGGTCTAAAAGGAGTTTTTGTCATCTAGCCCATAACCAAAGATCTATTTAATCATCTTGGAAATCGACGATATAGCAGGAAATCAATATAAAAAAACAGTGTCTAGTTTTGGTAAGTGAAATGGTGTCCATCCGTGATCCATCCTTCATTGTCTATCATCAGGGCACACATGACACAACCCATTGACAGAATATTAACACAACTCCATTTTCATCTCAACCCATATATACCTGCCCGAATGATAGAAAGTGTGCATATAACGAAGGCTTTTAAACACCAGACTATTTGTTAATCATAATATATTTCCCGACAAAATTCGTATCGATAGAAACAAGCCACATTTCAGTCTTACATAATAGATACAAAAACGTGACAACAACGATACAATCTAAACACAACAATTCTCCCAGGCGCACAATAGAAAGAGAGCTTATAGACCAAACTCTAAATTGACCACTGTATATCAATTTGCTAATTCATAACTAACAGAAGGCATATACTGATATCTTATAATACTAAAACTAGGCAAATATCGATAGAATAACAACCTAATAGATCGAGTAATGCTACTTTCCGAATCAAATTTGAATCAACAATCCAATCTCTCAAACACAGCATGTAATTATCACAAATTTCAACAATACATCCAACTAAATCATGGGTGATTCTTAAAAATTCATGGACTTAAACCACTAAATTGTTATGGAACTATCTAAATACAATTGAAATTACATGATGTAAACATGCGTATAGTACAAGAAAAATTAACAAACATACTTGAAATTTAGAAGCACGGATGTTCTTATCATCAAGAACTTGAATCTCCACAGAGAAATATTTCTTCAAGTTTTTAACAATCATAACCAAGAATGGAAGTTTAATACCAAGCGTTGCAGAAGGGTCAGCTGGGCAAGTGATAAACGTGGAATGAATATTTGATCCAATTATTTCCAATACATTCGATTGAATGTCGTCATCATGAGTTCGTTTAACATGCCCATTTTCAACTGTAAAACAATCCCCGATAAGTTAAAAATGTAAACTTCAACTAACAAAATCGGCTACACTTTAAATCAAGTAAAATCAACCTACAAAAGAACCAGCTAAAAATTAAAAACCATGCAATTTAATGGTGAGGAAAAAAAGGTTTCCTTTATATATGATTTTACTGACCTTCTTTATCCCAGATCTGAAGAGGTTTGCTCCTGTAAAAGACAAAAATTAAAAATTAAAAAGCACAGAGATGAACAAATAATACTCAAAAAGGGAAATATTAGTACATCCTAAGGAGAAATTGAAAGATTAGAAGCAAACCCTAGGCTGTATAAGATTGAAAGAAACCCAGATTGAAAAGTGTTATTGAACATGTTCAAAATCGAAGGGTTTTTTTTTCTTTGCCTTTTTTTTCAGGGCGATGGGAGCCGATGTTGAAACATCCCTTCAAAAAAATTAAGGCTTAAATTAAAAAAGAGTAAATTACATCATATACCACCAAACTTTACGCATTATATCATTTATATCATTGAACTTTTAATTTTGTTAATTGTAAAACTGAACTTTGCTGCTTCAAAGGTTTGCACCAAATTCGGTCGAAAGCCGATGATTCTAGCGGCTTCTGTATCTTTCTTGGTCGGAGAGGCCTTGAGTGCCAGTGCTCAGAACCTCTAGATGCTTATTATCGGGCTTGTGCTCCTTGGCATTAACGTTGTCTTTGATAACGAGGTTTGATTGGATAAAAATCGTACATATTGTTTTTGAATTGCGTCTTCCAGTGACTGATAAAATTGATTATACAGGTAGTTCCATTGTTCCTGTCAGAGATAGCCCCTGTCCAACATCGTGGAGCCGTCAATATTATCTTTCAGGTGTTTTTCCCAAAAAATCTCTTGTGACCGGTATATTTACCGATCTAACACCGGTCATACTATATTTCCCGATCTAATACCCTTTGCAGTAAGGCGCGCCCCCTGCAGCGCGTTATACACTAATTTGGCGCCACGTGGGATAAGGCGCCCCCTGCGACGCGCATTATGCTGACATGGATACACGTGGGTAAGCGCAGCCCCTGGGGCGCGCCTTACGCCATGTAGGGTATAGCGCGGGTCAGGGGGCCGCGTCTGACCTTTATAATTATATATAGCGCGGGGCAGGTACCGCGCCTTGTATAATTGTTACAACTTTTCTCGGCTATAAATATTCTTCTCCCCCAGGTTAAGTTCCTCACATCTCTCCTCTCAACTTATAAATTAATACAACAATTCCGCCAGCGAGTCAATAATTCTGACAATTTTCTCATATTTTATTCAGAAGTTCGTGCGATTTTTTGTTATAAGGTAATTTTGTGATAATATTTTTATTATATTTATTGTTTATTATGATTATTTGAAAAAAATATTATACTAATTATTGTCAATTAATTTCTGTGTTTGTAAAATTAGAAAGCAGGAATATACGTCGAAATAGTTTTACGGTACAAGTAATAATATAAAATTATATTATTTAAATTATTTACGTTTATGTGTAAAAAATTTATTTTGTTATATTTTCGTTCATATATTATTTATTTAATCAGCATTGTTTCAGTTGTTTTTTTTTTTGCATATATAATATTGTCGCACTTTTAAACTCAAAGAATGGCGCGACTTTCAGCTATTGCTTATTATGATAGTGAAATTCGAGAAGATGAAACCGAAGTTGTTTTCGTATCAAATGAGCGTGTTAAAATATCATTGAAGAGAAACATAACTCTTGAGGAGCTGATAACGAAGATTTCGAGGAAGATTCATGTTGGAAGTAGTAGAAGAATGGCGTCGTTGCAGTACAGATTTCCAACATCATTGTTGCCATTAACTTATACAGCGTTTGAACTTTTGAACAATGATGATGTTGAAATGATGGTTGAAGCTCAAAGTAATTATTCAGAAGCCGATATTGAGATGTATGCAAATTTTATTTAAGTGTGTGTCGTTCGGGGTCAATCATTAAGCTCCCACTATGGGCTGGCTGAACAAGTTGATCAAGTTGACAACCCGACGACAGTAATGTGTAATGATTTTAATGCCATAATGGGGAGACATTCATCCGCAACTCCTTACGATATGTACCGAGGTGGGTCGACGAACAATCTGTATGGCAACATCACGTCCAGTTCAAGGGGAAGACATTCATCTGTAAATTCGTTTGACCTTAATATAGAGATGCCATCGACGCAACCATCTGTGTAGTTTCCATTTAACACGATGGCTTCAAGCTCCAGGGGGAGGCATTCGACTACGAGCTTTTTCGATCTGAATGTCGATATGCCTTCCAGTTCAAGGGGAAGGCGTGCAAGTAGTAGGTTCTTTGACCTAAATGTGGAGAGCATGGAGGAACCATCATCTCCACCAGAAGAACCGTTTCGTGAGCCTGGTGCGGATGGTGCTGAGACTGGACTATTCATTCACCCAGAATTACCACAATTCAACTCCGATGATGATGATGATGTGGATGAAGTTCCAGCAAATGTGACACAAACTGACCCTCCAACACACATTTATGAAGTTGATTATGGTGCAATGTATGGATCAGAATTTGCGGATATGCCTCATCTCGGTGACTATGGATATTACTCATCAATAAATAATGGTGAGTTATATTTAGGCATGGAGTTTTCAAGCAAAGAAGAAGTGATGATGGCTATAAAAAATTAAAAAATTTGTAATTCTGTTCAATCGAGAGTTGACCGCTCCACGACAAAAAAATATGTATGCTACTGTGCCCGACACGAAAACGGATGTAATTGGATGGTTCGCGTATTGAAAAGGAAGAGAAAAACAACAGATGGGAACTAACAGTATACAACAGTCCTCACACATGTTGTGCTGGAGGGGTCAACCAAGATCATCCCAACTTGGACTCTAAAGTGATATGCCAAGCCATCATGCCCATGGTAAAAGCAAACTCTCATATAGCTGTTGCTGTGTTGATTTCAGCTATGCAATCGTAGTATGGGTACACTGTCTCCTATAAAAAAGCTTGGTTGGCAAAACAAAATGCCATTGTCAAACTTCATGGCGAATGGGATGCATCTTATAATGAACTTTCAGGCTGATTTAGGCTGGTGCGGAGGTTGAATCCTAGGACAATTGTGGACTTCGAAACCTCCTATGCATACCATAATGATCGAGTTCTCCGCGATCGATGGCAATTATACCGGGTTTTTTGGACTTACCCACAGTGCGTTAATGTTGTCAAATACTGTAAGACTGTGGTCCAGATCGACGAGACTTTCTTGTATGGAAAATACAAGCAAGTTTTATTATTGGCAGTTGTCCAAGATGGCAATCGCAACATTCTTCCAGTTGCTTTTTCTCTTGTCGAAGGAGAAGATACATATTCTTGGGCTTTTTTCCTTCGAAATTTACGTGCACGTGTTATCGCGAGGGAAAACATCTGTGTTATTTCAGATCGTGGAGCTGGGATCAAAGTAGCAATGGAGTCTTTGGGTCCAATGTGGCAACCACCCTTTGTCCAACGTAGGTATTGTCTCTGATACATTGCTGCAAACTACCATGGAAGGTACAAGAATAATGATGAGCGTCAATTAATTGTGCGCATGGGTAAGTGAAACTGATGTAGTTTGTTTTCTTTCGATCGTTTTAATTTTGTAAAGAATGCAAGTTAGTAAGTTATACATTTTTTGATCAGGTTACAAACTACTTCCTCGAACGTTTGAATCAATGCTTCAAGATTTACGAGCGAAGAAAGATGAAGGATACAATTACATCATCCTCATCGATAAAGAAATGTGGACGAACACATATGATGGTGGATATCGATACAGACACATGACAACCAACTTGGCAGAGGCAATCAATTCAACTTTAAAGGGTGCACGTCACTTACAGTAGAGGCTTTGGTGAAGACTACATATTTTCGTTTGGGGCGCTTTTTGCGAAGCTCGAGGGACAAGCTCAAACCTAGATGCAAGACGGTCATATCTATCACCCTAGATTAGTTGCAGATCTACAGAAAAAAATTTCTGCATCAAATGGAATGTCTGTAACAAGCTTCTCTAGAAGGCATGAAATGTTTCGTGTCACAGAGTTGTCGCGACCTCTTCAAGGGATTGAAGCTGTGTCGTTAAGAGTAAATCTAAGGGACAGAACGTGCGACTGCGGGTTTTTTCAAGCTCTTAAGTATCCATGCTCTCATGTGATAGCAGCTTGCTCGCATACACGTCAAGACTATAACCATTTTGTGGATCCTGTATACCTACTATCTGAACTTTTTAATGTATACAAATTTGAGTTTCCCCTAATAGGTAATGACAAAGACCCTGATGAGGTTCAAGATTGACTTCCGATTGTACCAAATTCGAGTTTATTGAGGGAGCGTGGTCGTCCAAAATCCAATCGAATTCATTGCGATATGGATATTCGAGAAAGATCTAGACAAGACAGAAGATGTGGGCATTGTAGAAACCCAGGACACACTAGAAAAACATGTCCACTTCTGTTGCCATCAAGTAACAATTGATGAGGAAATGATGTATTTGTTTATCAAATAATAATTCTTGTACTTTAATTTGCATTTACTTCAAGTTAATGTCATTCGATAATCGCTGATGAAGATTAAAAAAACGATACAATAATACGAGATTGGACGTTTGCGTTATATGTGATTATAATAAAAAAGATAATAAGTGACAAACTTAAGAAAGTTATCGAACAATTTGGTATTTCAAAATAATTTTAAATACAACAAACTTACCCCTGCGCCGCGCTATACCCTTAATTACCAACCTGCCCCACGCCATACCCACGTGTATCCATGTCAGCATAAGGTGCGTCGCAGGGGGGGCGCCTTACTGCAAAGGGTGTTAGATCAGGAAATATAGTCTGACCGGTGTCAGATTGGTAAATATACCGGTCACCGGTGATTTTTTGGGGAAAACGCCTCTCTTTCAACTCTTTGCAACCATAGGGATACTTTTTGCAAATCTGGTCAACTATGGCACATAAAAAATGCACCCTTATAGATGGAGAGTGTCTTTGGGGCTTGCCGGCATCCCGAACACCATTTTGTTAATAGGTTCTTTGATCACCACCAAGGCACCAGTGAGCCTGGTTGAGCGTGGAAAAGAGTCTATGACGCACGCAATGCTGCAAAAGATTAAGGGTGTCGAGGATGTCAAAGCGGAGTTCCAACAAATTGTGAAGGCTAGGGAAATTGCCCGGGAGAGAAGCATCCCTTCAAGGAACTCATGAAACGCAACAACATTCCCCCTCTGATTATTGTCGTGATGCTTCAAGTTTTTCAACAGTTTACAGGGATCAATGCCATCATGTTTTATGCTCCTGTCTTGTTGCAAACTGTTGGATTCAAGAATGACGCTTCGTTGTTGTCCTCGGTGATAACCAG